CATTCTGCTGCTTTCTGATGTCTGCCAGGTTAACACATCATATCACCATATTTTCATCATTTCTAAGAATATGTAAGATTTCTAAAGCAGGTTGGTAAGTACATATAATTTTAGTGTGGGTGCAGGGTACAAAGTGGTGCGGTGGCTTGTTTCGGTGGAGACTAGCGGACTGGACTACCGTGACCGAGTGTGTGCTCAAACACTCAAATTTGATATTATTGAAAAAAATTGAAGTCTTACCAATGTTGAAACAGCTTTTTCGTATGGTATTTTGATATGGGTCTATATCCATAAAGTATATATATCCATAAAGTGCACTCTGCATTTCCTCACTTTCAAAGGCCTATGGAATGGCAATTCGACACGACCTGAGAGAAATCAGGCGTAGGACCAGCGGCAGTGCCAAGGCACCTCAACTTCCTGACTCCGTCAAATAGCGTCAACTTCCTGCCTCCGGGCTGGTAATGAGAATTTCTTGGCGGAAAAACCCAATACAGGAATCCAAAAACTGATTTTGGCCCTACTTGGAAATCGAACCCGTGTCCACATAATCAGCACTACTAAACCAATGAGAAGAGATAGCTTGTAATAGAATATCTTGACGGAAACCCAATACAATCCAAAAACGATTTTGGCGCTACTAATCGAACCCATGTCCAAAGAAGAGAAAGTAGAAGTTATAAATACTTATTTTTGACGTACAACAACCGTAGCCTAAAACACGCTATCCATGTTTTCGAATGGCTTTGTACACCGATTGTCGGGATACATAATATAGTTATATAAAATATAGTAGTAATTAATAAAAATAATTAATGAATTACCTTGCAATAGCTTACGGTAGAACTGATAAAGATAATGTTAAAAAATAATATACCCCAAGTAGTACCCAAGACATGATTATTTTTAAAAAGTCTAATAATAGGTCGGGGATAAAGTTTCTTCGTATTTTGTTTTTATAAAATTGGAGAAAAATCTCTTTGGTTGTACTGTTTGTATGTCTGGCTAGTTTTAAAATCAATACATATAGGACATTAAGAAAAAGAAAAAGTAAAAAACACTTTCCTGCCAATTTTCAATTGTTTGTCTATCCGCCAAAAGGAGATTACAATTTTACCAAAATTCGATACATTCTGAACATTTAGCTGTTATGTACTATGTAATAGAGGCGACACTGCATGTAGTTACGCTATTTCGTTCAATTACGGTGTTAGCACCGCACTTTACTCAGTCACTCGCTAGGCGTGGCTAGGCGCTAGTAAATTGCCACGTGTTCCTTAATTAAATTTAAAAAAAATCGATAAAATATGCCTTGGTGTGTTTCTAGATATTGCACAAAAAATTCAAGTAATGTTAGAAAATACCAAGGAATAACTTTCATCGGTTAATAAGATACTTAATCAATAAAAAAAGTATCATAGATTAATAATAAAACAAATTGTTCCTAAGACGCCATCTCGTGGCATGTAATATAGATTATGAAATTAATTTTTTCAGATGCGACATTTCTCTGGGTGCTTAAGTATAGGAAGAATATATTATTATACATAATTTTTTTATAGAAACATATATAAGTTTTTATATTATTTTACATAATTAGGGGATTTTTTATATTTAAATCTGCTCATTATTCTTTTATTTTGTTTTTAGATTTCCACATCAAAGTCAAAGTGGAATAAATTCATCCATTTTTTACTCTCGTCTCGCGTGCCCAGCATTTATGAACTCTTATTCTAATTTAAATAAGTATATTTGTAATTTAAATGTTAAATAAGTATATTTGTAATATGTTAAACATACATTTAGTAGTTTTTTATATTTGACATAGTTACCTTTTAAAATATTCAGATAAAAATATCATTAAAATCTAATTGTGATATAATATTATATTAAATAAGCAAATATAATATACAAAATAAATCACAAAATGAAAAAATGTACTCGATATAATTTACCTATTTAACAATACAATCTACCTATACCTATTTAACAATATAATTACCTGCTGATCATTCTACCCATGTTTATTCTATGATAAAAAAACAACCGCAAGAATACAGAGCAGCGCACATTTTTTGTTTGAAATAGCTGTTCTTGTACGTAAATACATATTACTTCAATGATTCTGAAGTTTTATTGCAAAAGAAGGAAAATGCGGCTAAAGCCGCGAAAAATATTGTAACGTTAGCAGCGTCAGTAAGAGTAGCAGAAAGTTAGTTCAAACGTTTTCAGACCGGGAATTTTGATGTAAAAAGGCAGGTCGGCCTGGTCGCCCACATACAGACAAAGTCGATGCCATTTTGGTGGAGCAAGATCAGCATATTAGTAATGACCACGTAGCCGATGAATTGAGAATTGACCACAAAACAGTTTTGATGCCTTTGAAAAAGTCTGGATATACAAAAAAGCTCGATATTGAGTACCATATGAGCTTACTGAAAGAAACCTAATGAATCGTCGACTTATTTGATGAAAAATCCCAAGATTTCTACAACAACGGGATTATGTCACTACCTACAAGAATGCAACAAGTTATCGAACAAAATGCCATATATACTATAATTAAAAGCAATTAATTTTTTTTAAATGTCTTGAATTTGTGTATTGTATTGTGTATGTTTTATATGTGGCAGAGCCACGCTGTAGTATATTATGGTCATAGCACGAATGGGTCGGCACGACCGGGGAAGGACCACACTCTCTCAGAATACCAGCGTAAAATAGCAGCGTAATGCTGCTGTGTTTCGTATGGTGAGTGTAGAGAACTGGAGACCCTTTTTACTGGAATCGAGGCATTCCATCTTAGTCTTCAGGGGTGACAACGCATCTGCGTTTTGATTTTTAATCGAGAAATTGAAAGAGGATTGTACGGGGTATAGATGTGGGAAGGTTGTAGAGGATAAGAGAGGGTAGAAGAGGGTAGAAGAGCTTGTGAAGAGTTGCGAGAGGATGAGAAACGATGAGAGAGGTTGGGAGATTAGAAAAGGATTAGAGAGGTAAGGACGAGAAAGGATGGTAGAGGTTAGGGGTGGAGAGTGGATGATTGGAGAAGATTGGAAAGCTTAGAAAAAAAAAGGGAAGCAGTATGTATGATATAAGATAACCGTAAAGAAGGGGATAGGTAAGGATGAAGAGGAGAGGAAAAGAGAAGAGGTAATTGGAGAGGATAGGAGAGGGTACGAGAGGATGGGAGATGATAGGAGAGAACAGGTGAAGATAGGATACTCGAAGATAGTAGAGTATAGGATAGGATGTTTCTCAAAAAAAGGAAGATTAAAAATTTAGATGCTGATGCATATACGGAAGCAGGAAGATTTACGAAAATTATTACTTTGTTTTTATATTTTACTTACGTTTTAATTATAAATTTGTTTTTAATTTTTTTTGGAAGGCAATTACTTCTGCTGTAAGCCATTTCAATGTTATAAATTTTTTATAGAATAAGGTTGACAAACGAGCACACAGTCCACCTGATCGTAAGTGGATGCTGTTGCCCATAGACATCTACATTTAGTCTCGATTCAGTATCAAAACGCAGATGCGCTGTCACCTCTGAGAACTAAGTTGGAATGCCTCGTTTCCAGTAAAAAAGGGTCTCCGGATCTCTACACTCACCATACAAAAGCAGCTGCTATTTTACGTTGGTATTCTGTGAGAGCGTTGACCTTTCCCTGTCGAGCCGACCCATTCGTGCTACAATCATAATATAGCTACAGCATGGCTCTACCACGTATAAAATTATATTTATATAGTATATTTTCCCGATATTTACTATATTTCCTGAAACCCTGTATAAACCTCTGCCACCACACTGAACTAGTGCCTAGGTCGTTTTTACCACCTAAAACTTCGACCCGTTCAAATTAATCTGTCTGAGAGGGGTCCGCAATCCTCTCTTGCTCAGACCACAGTTAGATAACTAGCAAGCACCCTACAGATGATCTCACTATTTGTCGCGAAAAAAAAATCAGTCAGATCTTGAGTCAGATGAAGTTGTAAAAGAAAATGAAAAATTGACAGACCCCCCCCGGGGTAAACTCCCGGCCTGACGGGAGATTTCTTCTTTTCTTTTCACTACCAAATTATATTAACTGTGAATTAGTGATAGTGAATATTAGAAAAAAGCCAGCGAGTATTTTAATTTCAAATTATATCACTCAGATCTCTCTATAGCAACTAAAAATTCTTTAAATTATATCACTCAGGATCTCTCTATAGTACACTGAACAATCTTGAACTGTTTCATATGGCCAGTAATGAAAATTTCGTTTTTATTTATACAACATTAATTCATTAGAGTACTTAAATCAAAGGCTGAACATAGGACATCCGATAGAATGGAGATATTTGCCATAGTTGTTACGTTTGGCAGGCGGTTTGGCAATCGCAGTTTTTTTTTCTAGTTTTTTATTTATTTATAGGATAGGGTGACAAACTAGCACACAGTCCACCTGATGATAAGTGGTTGGTGTGGCCCATAGACATCTACATCCATCCTCGATTACAAATCAAAATGCAGATGCGTTGTCCCCCGTGAGGACTAAGACGGAATGCCTCGTTTCCAGTAAAAAGAGTCTCCGGTTCTCTACACTAACCATACGAAACACAGCAGCTTTAAGCTACTATTTGACGCTGGTATTCTGTGAGAGCGTGGTCCTTCCCCGGTCGAGCCGACCAATTCGTGCTACAACTATACTACTAATATAATTGCAGCATGGCTCTACGTATAGTTGTTATGACGAAGACGTTGCAACCCATTTCCTGGTTTGTTTCCCTTTATTGCCTCTTCGACGCTTACGGGATGATTTGGGGTAGTGGATATTCTTAAACCGCCACTACTCGGTTAATTTTTTTTCGTATTTATACCAGATATAAAATCCCCCGACCGGCAACGGCAAGTAGTATCAAAATCGAACTCAACATGTCCCGATGTGGCCTTTATATAAATGAGAGAAAAATTACATTATTAGTTTATCAATTCTGCTTTCGCTTGTCGACAGGCATACTGGCTGATTAAGCTTCTTAGTTTAAATCCCTGGGCTGTAATCCTTGCACGGGCGATAGCTGGCATCCCTTGTTCAGCGTGCTACATAGTGCTGCCTATCTACTTGAAGGAGATCAGCGATATTGATCTCAGAGGCGCTCTTGGGTCGCTGCTTATACTGAACAGGTGAGAGGTAATATGAATATAATATTATTATGTCGATTGTTTTGCTATAACCCAAATCTGAACCCTGTTGCACGAAAGAGACGATTGTATTTAACCATGATTATTTGAGAAACATTACTGAAAATTTTAGGCGAATTGTTACTAAATTTTCATTATGTTTAAACAAAACCAGCAATGTATACCAAATTCTTGCAGATTATAAAATTGTGATGACCTTTTAAATTTATGTTTTTGAAATTATGTTAATATTTTAGTAATGTCGATATGGTATGACCCTATCGACACTACTAAAATATTAACATTGCCACTTTAAATTAATATGATTTACTAGTCGATCAAGCTAAATTGAGGACTGTCAAATATGACGTCACGCACACTTTAATATTATGAACGTATCGATACTATAAATTTATTAACGTCTTGTTTCTCCATTCTAAATTTCGCAGTGTAGTAGCGGAATAAGAGCCACCACATTTAATCCCGTAGGTATCATAATAATCGAAGTGCAGACGCGTTGTCACCCCTTGAACACTTAGATGGGAAGCCTCATCAACAGTCAAAAAGTGCTACATAACCTTATCTGAAATGACAAAAGACCTACATACACCCAGTGGGATGTATAAAAGCTGCAACTCAACTCAACTTTTTTTAATGAACGCAATCCATAACCAATTATCATTGGTCATAACCAATGGATTAACGAGAACGCCAAGGGCTACATAACCTTATCTGAAATGACAAAAGACCTACATACACCCAGTGGGATGTATAAAAGCTGCAACTTCAACTTTTTTTAATGAACGCAATCCATAACCAATGATAATTGGTTATGGATAACCAATGGATTAACGAGAACGTCCGGAATATGTTTGTGGCTTTTTCGCTTATGTCAGTTTTTAAACTTTCAATGAATAGAAATGTCTCTCCCATGAATGTTAGGGCTGGAAATTTTATTAAACGACTCCAAGCCTGTGGAAGCTGGTGTCTCACAAGGCTGCGTACTATCGCCTACCCTGTTACTTTTGCATATTAACAACATGGTACAAATTAGTAACATTCATACTATGCAAATGGCAGCACTGGCGAAGCCTATATATGGCCGTGCTAATATTCATAATTAATACTAATAAATGACCTTAATTAATATTATAATTAAGGTCATTTCATTTTAATCCTCAGTGATGGCAAACATCTGTATTTTGATTTTTCTATGATAATTTAATCTATGATATGGATAGATTTCGTTGTGCTTAAATAACTAAATCTATCAGCACAGCACACAAATATCATATAAAGTACTTTTACTCTTTTATCAATATTATTGAAAGGAAATCACTAATAATTGTTGTAGCAGCATTTATATTAGTTAATTTACTTTGAATTATGTGAATAAAATGAATCCGTTATTTTATATAATGTAATCTTATAAATTGGTAAGTCCTATTCAAACACAAGACACTCAAGGCAAATTGCTTTGAAATTTATTAGACAGATACGGAAGTGGAAATAGTTATAAATTTATTAAACGTAGTAAATCGTAATGGATTTAATATTAATTGCGTTGCATCTTTGTACAAATAAAATAAGCCAGCCTGTCTATGATTTTCAAAGGCAGCGAATAACTAATTCTTATATATTCATTTATAGTTAAACAAAAACCCTTATTTTGTTATGTCTGTTTGGCCGTCCTGTTCGATAAATATTTTATTTAGAATCGAAGGTCATGTATTATACAATTTAACAAAATTTTTAAAGTGAAACTTCTTTTTCACGTTGGGCACTTTTTGGATGAGGAAAAATCACTGAACTCGCGTGAACGTCACGCTCAGATAGGTCAGATAGGCTCAGATAGGTATATACAGATGTGTATGTATAAATTTGTTTGTGTTATATAGATAATAATCTTTTTTTTTTTTTGTCTAAAACAGTGCAATAAATTAAAATTTTATTACTATATATTAATACTTTGATAAAAATAATTTCTAATAAAAATACTTCCTTAAAAAAGTATTTCTTAACAACCCAAAAATACTATTTGCAGGTTTATTTATTTATTTTAACACTTACAACTATATTTGCAGGTTTATCCTAAAACGATAGTGTAACTTCTATATGTTATTATTATCATACGCAATTATATTCTTAACTTCCTGGAAGTTATTGTAATGGGTCCGATTTTGCAAATTGGAAATTTTAACATATCTCCACGTTTCAAGGTCTTTACAGTCGAATAGTAGGGTTTTTAAGAGGATGTTCGTGTGTGCACATGTACGTATGTATGTATGTATGTTCGGATTCGATTTTCGCCTCGTGTATCTCGAGAAAAGAGTGATATTGACATGGGACCATTTTCAGTTAACACATAATTATGAAACTTAGACCTTAATAAATTTTGAGAAAAATCGGTCAAGTCGTTTTATTGTGCCGAATGAAAAATTATCTAAAATATTAAAACATACGATATTTTTTATTCTTTCCACTGGGAAGTTAGTCGTGTGGTACTTCCGGATCACACCTAGATCGCTCTTTAAATAACGTACTTAACAAAACTAGTATATTTTTCTCGCTATCAAATTAGTGAAGAGAGCAAATGAGCGCCTGACGCATAAGGATTGTCCTTCCGTTCGGCACGGCAAACAGTTGTGGCCACAGAAGTCTAATTATTATTTAGATTTCTGTGGTTATGGCCGTCGTCGTCTCCTAATTTCCGGGACATACAAGTTTAATTGTTTAATTTTTTTATACAGAATCAGGTTGACAAACGAGCACACAGTCCACCTGATAGTAAGTGGGTGCTGTGGCCCATAGACATGTACATTTATCCTCGATTAAGAATCAAAACGCAGGTGCGTTGTCACCCCTGAGGACTAAGATGGAATGCCACGCTTCCAATAAAAAGGGTCTCCGGATATCTACACTCGCCATACGAAACACAGCAGTATTAAGCTGCTATTTTACGCTGGTATTCTGTGAGCACGTGGTCCTTCATACAACTATAATATAGCTGCATTGTGGCTCTACCACATATAAAAGTGTTGGCTGCACTTTTTTTACACGAAACATGTCGAAGTCTTCTCTAACAGATATATTTTTTACACCAATATGAGGTCCATTTGAAAGTTTTTAACAAATGTATGTCTTGACATTTTCCTCCTAAACCTGTTTGAATATGTCTAGAATACTAAAACATCTTTCGAAATAACACAATTTAACATATCATAAATACATATTTCTTATTCTTTCTAACGTTGGTTTATATTATCAATATTTTTTTAACATCAACCCAGCACAATTCTGATAAACAAATGACATAATGCATATGCCAAAACATTACAACTTAAATTATTTAAAAAAAAACTGTACATTATGTTAATTAAAATTTTAAATACACTCAAACAATTCAAAATCGGAAGAGCCATTTTCAAATTTTTGCGACACTAACGGACAGCAATTGATTTTTATATATAGAAATTATATTACGGATATATATATATATATATACGTCCCACTCCTGAACACAGGCTTCCCCGCTCATTTCTGAGAGGGTTTTAGGGCAAGGAATTGTCCGCCGCGCTGCCCCAATGCGTGTTGGCGAACTTCACATGTCTTCGAAATATTTTATTTTCTTATTTCTCAGACATGCAGGTTTCCTCACGATGTTTTCCTTCACCGCCGAGCAAGTGGTAAATCAGCACTTATAATTGCTATTAACAATTTTATTGGTGCCGGCGCGGATCGAACCCGGTTTGCTCGCGTATTGTGAAATATACAACGAGCGCTAACCATCAGAGCTACCACGGCCATTTGTAGAAATTTAAAAGAATTTTTAAGAATAACTTAATGTAATAAAGGCCACGGATTTTAAGGCCACATTGGCCATATCATGTCGATAAACAATATATTTACTGCATGCTTACTGCCACATTGCACCACAGATTATTTTGGCCGCGGACTATAAAAACGTAACGTTCGGATAATATTGCAATGGTGAGAATACCCGTATATTGAAAAAAAAATTATTGGTCAGGGCAAAGTACCACAGCGTAAGAGTAACAGTTTTACACTACTGGGTTTAAACTAGCCCCAAAAAAATCAAAAAGCCCTCCCCACTATACTACTATATAACTCAGCATGGCTCTACCCAATTTCACGAATCATACAAAACCCATTATATTATGGTTGGAGCACGAATGGGTTGACTCGACCGGGGAAGGACCACGCTCTCACAGATTAGTTGCAGCGTAGCTCTACCAATTTTAATTCGATTTAATGATATTTTAAGGTACAAAAGATACGCCGTGATCTATTGCAATTTTCGCTAGAAAACGAGAGATTTTATATTCTCCTCCGTTATAATTTTATTTATACCTCTTATAACTTAACGGTAGATTTCTTGTTTGCTGACTACAAATGAGATGCAAAAGGAAATATGCATATAATTAATGCAGACTTCGCTCAAATATAACCTAGTTTGAACTGGTTTTGGGTACAAACATACAACGTACGTTTCGTACGTGGTAGAGCCATGCTGCAGTTATATTAGAAGTATAGTTGTGGCACGAATGGGTCGGCTCGACCGGGGAGGGACCACGCTCTCACAGAATACCAGCGTGACATAGTAGCTTACCTAATGCTGCTGTATTACGTATGGTGAGTGTAGAGAACCGGAGACCCTTTTTACTGGAAACGAGGCATTCCATCTTAGTCCTCACGGGTGACAACGCATCTGCATTTTGATTAGTAATCGAGTATAGATGTGGATGTCTATGGGCCACAGCAACCACTTACCATCAGGTGAACTGTGTGCTCGTTTATCACCCTATCCTATAAAAAAAAAACGTTATAAAATATACAACATTACTTTGGGTAAATCCCTAAGGTTTTTAAAAAAATCGGGGTTTGGCTGTGTCGTGACACGGTCGTGTATTTTACCTGAATACGTGGTAAGTAAAACAAAAAGACCTCAAAATGGCGACGCTTCCCCCTTCGCCTCACAACCT